TTAGGAAGAGACTCACTTATACCTCCACCAGAGTTGCGACGCGTGCAAGTTTGTGGGAGACGAAAACCGAAGTCGGAAGAAAACAATCAACACGCTGACAACCAAAATAAATAGACTTAAAGATCGCCTACAGGAAAAGGAAATCAAATTCCTCAATTACATTGGTTCTTTCATCAGGAAAAGTACTGTTCACATCACTTTCAAGGGAAGCTATCGAGGGAATGGAGCAATAACTAGATGATCGATCACTTTCGCTTGAAGACATAATGATTTTGCCCTGCAAGCTCTCTTGCCTTCGAGTTGTCTTGATTGGATGACGTCACTACGCTTTGACTCGTTGCTGTGTCCTGCCGCTCATTTATTCAACAGCAATATGGCGAAGGGCGATTTCGCAACGGAAAAGTTTCATTTTCTCGGCGGTCGTTGGCTAGATTTTTCTAATATTTAATACATATGTTATTCAAAGTGCATAAATTCGAGATATTGTTGTAAAAAGGTTTTACGAAATGATACGTTTTTCGTAACAGTCCCGCTTTAAGCTATCCAAGTTTTCTGTTTTCAGTTGTGATCTCAAGACTAGCTCCTTTTAAGAAAACTAACATTGTATTTAAAGACAAGAGAATACTAGCTTTTTTGATCTGTCAGAAGATTGCGTGACGGAAGAAGAAAACGATGCACAGCCACGATACGGTCGAATCAGACTCAGTCACTTAGGAAGCGATATAAATCGATATTTCTGTTCCAAATTTAAGATTTGTGACACAAAATTATTTAAAACGAAACGTTAATTTTAATATCTTAGGCTGATCAACAACAGAAAACGGCAAACATGATAACTGTGGGGCACAGAAAATGTGCTCGGCTCGATAAATCGCTCTCTAACTACAACTGAACCGCGAACCTATCAACTACGGCCGCAAATAACAGTAATATGTCGATCAATGAGCTGACTTACTATTCAGTCACTTTCGAAGCACCATAAACGACTTTTTAAAGAGCTTCTCGAGACCAAACAACGGCGGTACGAAGGAGATTATGATTCTTGAAGCACTTGTTTATGTATTAAATTTTTGTATTCGCTCGACAAATTCCTCACTCCCAGAGGTTGTGAACTCAACAAATCTTAAAGAATGTTTTTAGTGAAGGATAAAGCATTTTTGATTGCAAAAAAAGTGTTAAATAAAATGACTTACCGCTCGATTTTCCTCCTTTGATCTACATTTGTGTGGTTCTCTCGTTTAAGCAAACTTCTCGTCTTGGAATAAGCGGAAGTGAGTGGGCTCGAAACGTAACACGGGAAAGCTGAACAAAAAAATTAAAATAGGGGCACGGAGGGTGGGGGAGATTGAGCCTTGTCCTCTGGTCAGTTCTACCTCTCCAAAACTCCTGAACATGTAAATATCGATGAGAACTTCTTAGTTTAGAACATGGTGCCGCACTGGCAACAGCTGTTTTTGCTTTCATAATGCAATACTTCACCTGGAGACCAGCATGATGCGGTCACGCTGTTTGTCTGTTTAAGGTTGAAGTTACCAGGAAAATTACAAGAATCTCTGAAGAGATCCGAGCACTTTTGATTCTCTAATTTCACATTCACACACACACGCTCGCGCACACAAACACACAGAAAAGCATATTTCAGTTGGGATCATGATGAAAGGCAGCGTGATACGTTTTGACAAAATTAGCGGGAATAAAAAGTAACGCAATTCGTGTTCACTTTCACATTTGAGAACTGATGGCAGAATGAGTGTGTCATTTGAAAAATTGCAAACGGGTTCACAGGTATCCCAGCCTGTAGAGCAGGCGTAATTTTGGCGAGCGAGTGCACAGTATTTTCGCAGCGAAAATTATGGCCGTCATCTTTGATTCACATGGAAGAGGAAAGCTGAGGAGAGAAAGAAATTTGTACCAAGGGGGGTAAACGACAACGAAAGAGTCTTCAAATTAAACATGGCCAGTTGGATTAACCATAACGCGCTTCTAAACGTTAACCGCCCTAATAAGACGCCTATACTGCAGGCTACAGGTATCCATGAGTCTTAATGGGGTGAATGGGAACGTATGTGGCCAGTTATGCAAAATTCCAACATTAATAAAGGGAGTCAGTTTCTAAAAAAACTGTGGTGCTTGGTTTTGGTTTTATCAAATAGCTCTTGCTATTCATAATCCTGGGAAAAGAGATATCGATAAAAAAAGTAAGCTAATGACTGAACGGTCTAAGTGTGACCACGCGGAAGTTCTTCTTTCTTTATCTCTATTTCTAGTGTCTGTAGATGCTTATTGTGATTTACACTTCCACTTCATTTTTATGCACTATTATTTTGAATACATACCAGATATTTTATCCAACAGCGAATTAAATTATCAGCCACATTATCAGGCTGCCTCTCGAATGCTTTTAGTCATTCTAGCTTAGCTAAACGCGAAAAAATTATGCAAAACTGATTGGTGATGCAACGCTTGGAATACAGGCAGGCTCAGGAATCCTTAGCATTATCTTTAAATATGTTCCACGAACACACAGGGTTCCGCCTATCACTATCGTGCAGCCAAGATCCAATAAAATTCATCGCTGGTTCTACCAGCAAGCTCTCGGCAATTAAATAAAGTGTGTCCAATTCAAAGACACAGGCTTCGTTGTTTCTAGAGTTTTCAAATTTCTTTGTCCTCAATCAATCTGGTCTGCATACCGACATTTGATTCTTATTGACCTTAGTCTAGTTAACTTACGATACAGTTATCATGAGTCGTAGAACTGGTGATCATAGATAGTGTGGATCCATGTTCAACGTGGAAGTCACTCAGTTTGTTGTCACCTTCGAGTTCTGTGTCACCAAAAGTGATCAGCTGCTTGTTAACCGGTGTTCCTAGCATGTCCTTTATTTTTCTTTTTAAATTTGTGATCTTATCATCCGGTGATACATCAATTACGATTCTAATACCATTTTGCATTTTCATGTAAATGTGCATTTGGTCGCCTTGTGTCCTTCGGATAACCAACTCAATGGCTGAGTCTCTGGTGATGTGGTAGCTTTCCAGAGTGCGGAGTTCATCATCAAGTTCCTGATCGTGAAACATGAGTTGTAGCCGATTTGTTGATATTCCCATCTCTTCTGTTATTTTCCTTTTAACATCCTGAATAGTGTGTCCTGACACAGCGTCTATTGTGATCCTCATTTTTCCAGATCGTGTCTTTACATGAATCAGGAAAGCATTATTTTCTTGTTTCACATCCAGTCGTAAGGTTAATTCGGTCTGATTGTGGTGCTCACTCAAAGGACGGTGGTCGTCTAAGACTTTCCCGCCAACAAAGCTGAGGTGTTGTTGATCGATAGGAACCCCCTCTCTTTCTTGAATAATTTTTTTCACACTCTCCAAATTATCGTTTGGTGAGGCATCTATATAAATATTCCTTTCATTAGGTAACTTGACATCGATAAGTATTCTGTCGGGTTCTTCCTTACGTCGCAAATATATCGTTGACGCTCCTGTTACTTTGTAGTCTTCTAACGTTAGATGGTCTCTGATTTCTTGGTTCCTAAAAATCAAGTGTTGTTGGCTAAGCGGGATATCTTCTAGTTCTTGAAGTTTCAGTTTCACATTCGCTATTGAGTCTGAAGGTTCCACCTCCAAATTGAAAGTCTTTCCGGAGAGAGTCCTAACAAAGATGTGCATGCTACTAAGTCTTGGAAGCAATTGTATAGTTGATTCTTTTTTAATATTATAGTCAATCAAAGTATGGCCATCTTATAGTAGCTTTCCAGCAAATATTAGACGTTGTTGATCCACTGGGACACCCTCTTGCTCTTGAATTTTCGTTCTCATCTTCTCTATGGTATCTGATGGTTCTACGCACAAAGGCAAATTCTTCCCGGTCAGAGTCTTGACGAAAATGTTCATGCCACTGTGAGCTCCTCTTAGAACCAAGTGCAAGGTCGCACTATTCTGAATATTGTAGTCACCCAAAGTACGGTCGTCTTCGAGTTGCTGGCCGACAAAGAAAATATTTTGCTGGTCTTTTGAGATGCCTTCTTGGTCCTGTATTTTCACTTTCACATTCCCTATAGTGTCTGATTTGTCTACGTTCAGAATGCTTGGACTTCCACTGGGCTTCTTTACAAAGATTTTCATGCTAACACGAATTTTTAGAACCAAGTAGAGCGTGGATTCATTTGTAATGTTGTAGTCGCTCAAAGGGCGGCCGTCTTCGAGTTGCTTACCACCAAAGAGTAGACATTGCTGATCAGATGAGATTCCCTCTTGCTCTTGAATTTTTGTTTTCACAATATTTATGGTGTCGGATGAGTTTACGTTAAGAGTGCTCTTCTTTCCAGTGAGAGTTTTTGCAAAGATTTGCATGGCTAGGTGATTTCTGAGAACCAGGTACAGTGTGGATTTTTCCCCAATTTTGTAGTGACCCAAGTTACGACCATCTTCAAGTACCTTACCAGCAAAGATTAAACGTTGCTGGTCCAGTGAGATTCCTTCTTTGTCTTGAATTTTTGTTTTCACTCTCATAACGGTGCATGAAGGTTGCACGTGGAGAGAGACCGTCTTTCCAGTGACAGTCCTCACAAAAAATGGCATGCAAGAACGAATCATGCCACCTTCGAGAACAGAGTGGTGGACTGAAGACCCTATGATAACTGCAGGAACCTCGGGAATTTTTCTTTCTTCTTTTTTCGTAGTGATAAAGAACCTTTGCGGAAATCCTACATTTTCTTCAAGCTGAGGTTCAGATACACTGACTGGGCTTGTTCCTTCACTTAGTAATTCTGAGGGAGGATTTCGTCTTGATGCCAAGTCTGAGCCAAGTTCATCATCTGTATCGATTGTCCTACCGGGTGGGTCATCAGCTAAATGCAGGGACTGAACAAAACTTGATTTTAGGCTACAACGAAACATTTTGTAGTATCGTAAATGCGGATGGAGAAATTTTTTCAGTTTAAGTAATCATTGCTTGCGTTAAGCTTGCAACAACAACAACTACACCAATAACATCACCAAAAATTTACTCCGTAATCCCTTACTGTTCTTGAACAAAGCAATAAAAACGGTAAGAAATAATTTTGGCAACTAAATCCACTCCTTTCCCACCCACCTCTATCTACTCTCCATATGATCATCACCATCGGAACTTAGTTATTTTCCGCGCACTTAGCGCTCGTACGGATCATAACGAACATTAAAGCCTTTTTTCTTTTTCATTTGCCTTAGAATCTACAACAACAAATGACACATCACATCTCTTCTCGCTTTACCTTTTTCACATATTAATAACAAGAATGCAGTGTCAAATAGCACATCACTGGTAGTTTTATGGGACACACGCAAGGCATAAATTGTAAAAGGGTTAGAAAAAGCTATTTCTGTAATCCTAAGCTGCCTTGGTGACGGAGCTTTTAATTATTTCAGGGTTCCCTCTGTAGTGGAATTTGATCTGCGGCTATAAAGAATGTCGAAATATATACCTATGGTCGTCCTCACCCCATTCACATCGCACACTTTCACGCATTCACATCACACACTTTCACGCATCCACATCACACTCTTTCACGCATTCACATCAATGGACCTCAAATCATGAAATTGTTAAAAGTTACCCTTTTGGATTTAGAGAAGAATTTATTTGCAAGTTTTCTGAACGATATGCGTGAGTAAAACATAACGAGCGAAACTTTGCTTTAATGCATTTTTTTCTTATTGACAACCTTGTACGCACCTATCCTATTTACGTTAATGAACGCTGTTTATGAGCTTTTATTTGTGCTTACTCACCCGAACCATGCAAGAAATATCGTCTGGCAGCTCGATAGTCTTCCTCTTCGATAGTTGTCGAGAGTTTCACTTGATCGAGGCCAAACGTCATCAAAATTTCTTCGGTCACAAGATATTTCTGTGCCATTTCACTTAGGCACCCTGTGCAATAGTCGTACCACAGATCCTCCAGTATCTTTAGAGATCTACATTCCACTGTAATGATCAAGCTTCCAGTCTTAGCTTCTACAAAGATGACTTTACGCACACCTTCCATATATCTTACAAAACCATTTAACTTGTCTTTGTCAGACATATCAGTTCTCCTAAGGTACTTCTCAGCAATCAAATTCAAGATTTGTTGTGAACTGGGTATATCACCACTTGGCGCAGTTGCCATCTCAACGATTCCAGTCCCTTCAGCGGTTGATTGTCCAGTTGATGTAATAGGGTCCACTGCCTTGCGCTTAACTCCAGATACTACCTTCTCGTGCTCAACTGATTGGTTACCCTGCGTGGTGAGAACCATTCTTCTTGACGTTTCAACCAACGGATAAGGCTCTGAGGTGGTTGCAATTAAATTTAAGTCCGGTTGTGTACTGGGTATATGATCGATTGAAACGGGTGTCGAGTCCACGACTCCTGTTACTTCAACACCTGGTTGATTAGTTGACTTGATAGGGTCCGCTGCCTTGCGCTGAACTCCAGCTACTGTCATCTCTTGGCCAACCGATTTGGTACCCTGTGTGGTTAGAGCCACTGAGGATTCCACAGATGGACAAGGTTCTGGGTCAGTTTCACAGTCGATCCGCACTCTGAGTCGAACTTTTAGGGAAAAAAAAGCATATTCATCAACTACGCCAACTGTGGGAACTAACAACAATTCACATTGCTAGGATTGATCGTTTGGCTAAAAGAAAAATAATAACTTTGAACAAACTTCAATGACCTTTTGTTATGCTTTGAAAGTATTCTATGCCGCTTCTGTTAAAATACAATTGAAATTCGTCAAATGCCGAAAGCGAAATTTAAACACAACATTCACAATACGCTCCTTCAGAAACTCTCGGAGGCAACTGAGTATATTGATCTACTGGACCTGAATATGCCGTAAAAATTGAACTAATCTGCGTTATCCTTCCAGCTTCTAATGTAATCTGTTTAATTCTCCTGTGAATCTTTGTCTTTCCCATATGTTATATTGGTCAATATTTAATTATTACCATTATTCTGTTCTCTCTTTTTATTCTTTTGTATCTCAGTAAACTCTGTTTTCTTGATTTCATTATCTGAAATTAGTATTGTAATTATTCCTACTTAATATCTAGTTCTGCAAATTAGTATTGTAACTATTACTTTGTTTTCTTGGTTTCATTATCTAAAACTAGTATTATAGTTATTGTTAAAACGAATTTGGGGCCAGCGGTCCGTTCACGTGGTGGGGTTCAGTCCCCTCCCGTCAACATATATATTGTAGTGTTCGCGCGTAAAGCTTCTTTATGTTACGTAGTTTGATGTTGTTTGTCCTTCAGCTGCGTCTCGCGTTCTTTCATTATCCAAACCGTCAGGTGTGTTTTATGTTTTCATTTCGCCGCGTTTATATTGTTTATTATTTTGTTTATGTCATTCATTTTCGGTTGTTAGCTTTAGTGTAATTTAATTTTGTTATAGAAACCACTGGTCGAGAAATAAACGTATATGGTTCGGATAGCCATTAGGAATGTTACTGGTGCGTACGTTACAATTATTTTTATTCAATACTTAGTTCTGAAATTAGTATTGTAACTATTCCTACTTAGTTCTTAGTTCTGTAACCCTATTATAATGTATTGTATGATAATAATTAATTCTACTTAGTACTGTAATTGCCATTGCACTTAGTATGATTTGTATGTTGATATGTAATTTAATGCGTCAATCCACTGCTCGCCTCGAATAGCTGTAGCTAACTGCGAGCAGTGGTACATCATATTTTGCATTTTGTAAATATTTCTTAGTAATAATAAACTCCATAAACTAACTCCAAACTCCATGCAATACGTGCATGTGGAGTTGCGGCGCTCCGTAATGCAATGACACACAGTGCAACAATTGAGTTAGAGACTCAGTGCACTTAACTAAATCTTAACAGAGAAATAATGATTAAAAAAGCTGACCTCCAGTTGATGAGTTCAATCGGCTCCCCTGGTTCAAATGATCTTTGATTCCTTGAAGCTTTTCTTTTATGCCGTGGGTTTTTTCTCTTAATTCTTCTCTCAAGCACTGCACTTCTTGAGTTGTGGCTTTAACTTTTCCACTAAGCTGGTCTTTAATGTCTTGGGCCTCGTCTCGGACCTCTTGTCTCAAGTACTGAACTTCTTGCCCTTCGTCGTGAACTGCTTTCTCCACATGCTTCACTGAAGAATCCAACCTGTCCATGTATTCCTTCACTTCCGTATCATTCTGGTACCAGACCTTTAATTCCTCCACAAGTCTCTCATCTTCTTTAGTAAAGGGATCTTTCAAGAATTTGTCAAGAGAGGTTTGCCATTCCATTTTCTTGACAGCGCTGATCTGACCCGCAATTCTCATCAGAGCCTCGCTGATTTCTCTCCAAAGAACTAAAAACTCATCATCAGTTATTTCCATGTTCTCGTTGACATGACCGTATATCGAATTGCGGTAGTATTTAATTCTCGCTAAATCGGCTTCAAGGCTGTGGTCTGTACGTGCCGGTAGCGCATCCCAGCCCGTGGCAGGAGGGGTGAGGCCGCATATCGTCCTCAGCAGCCGGAAAAGGAGAGTTATATCAAATTTTGTTGACTTTCCATACACCCCTGGGGAAGGGTACAAGCAGTCCCTCTGTGGTTTGGTGAGCTTTGCTGCTTTAAGTAGCTTCTCTGTGGCTGGATTCTGAAGCATTGTGGGAAGACTACTTGGAGGACACCTAACGTCAAAAACCTCCCTCAACAGCACAGTACCTCCACTTATCAAGACCCGTGCTATTCGTTGAAAATTATCTCACCCTTTCGAAGAACGAAGCACCTCATCTGGGTCCGGAGAAGCAGACATTTTAAAGAGGACAAACGATTGTAGAGATCAGAACCAAGTTCTTCCTTTCCTCTGTGACCAAAACTGCGAAACAGAATAAAGAAATTTAAGCCTAATGGCCAATATCGAACGTGACGGTCTCTGCTTAAATCTATGTGAATGGTTAAACGAACAGGATTAAAACGATTGCGTTTGATTAAGTAGCTTAGAAATCTTCTTCGATTGTTTTGTGGGTACGAATTTCTGGCAAGGGAGAGTGCTATTCAGCAAATTGGATGTTTTGGGCCTATACTTAAAGAAAGAACACAAATATACCTAAAAAAAACATGACTTCCGCCCCTTAAACATAGGTGGCCTAAATGAAGTTCAGTCGAGATTATAATTCGTAACCTTGGCTCGAGGGGTTTTTACGTAACAGTTCGTTACAAAGACAGGGAAGAACATTTATGCCCGTGATAGCCTTCGTGTACTGGTTACTGCTGTCGACCGGTACCCGTAACAGTAAACGATCGAAAAAGCTCGATTATTAGTGACAGAGATTCAAAGAGCTCGAAGCATATTCCTGGAAAAAAAAAAGCCCGACTACTCCGGCAACAATGCAAGACAAACGTAGGCTGCCGAATCAGTGAGCCATAACACAAAATAAAAACGACTTAAGTAAGAAATGTTTTATTTTCAGGTTAGAGATAGGTTTTGGGGATCGAGCGAATGATACAAAATTTTGTGACTTAGATCCTTGAGTCAATCACGTTTTTAAGATTTATTCTAGCCGCACGTTTAAAGTTGATCATTAAAATTTAAGCTGTCCTAAAGCACCTTCGCAAATTTTCGTTTGAGCTCTAGAAAACTTACTGTGTATCCTTATTTCCATAACCGAAGGTCAACCAAATCTGACAAGAACTATTCAAGTACGAAATATAACAAAAGCAAAACAAAATCCAAGGTTGGATATTTTAGCTCCAATTAAGCTCTTCTTTTTTTCAGTTTTAACTTGTGATCCTAAGACTAGCTACATTTAATAAAACTAACTTTGCAGTCAATGACGAGAAACTAGCTCTTTAGATCTGTCAACAAGTTGCGTGACGGAAAAAGAAAACTAAACACAGTCACGAAATGGTCGAGTCACATCAGACTCAGTCACATAGGAATTAAAATCAATCGCTATTTCTCTTCCAAATTTATGATTTGTGACACGACAGTTTTTACTACGAAATGTTAATTTTTTATCTATTGGGCTGATCAACAACAGAAAATGGCAAACATGATACCTTGGCCGCTCTGATCCGTAACTGTGGAGCACACTGAAATGTGCTCGGCTCGATAAATCGATGTCTACAACTGGAACGGGACCTTTCAACGTAAGCTCGATTGAGGTGACTTGCTAACCAGTTACTTTCCAAGAAATGGAAAAAGCTTTGATTCTTGAGACAGAGCGACGGCGCTACGAAAGAGACTACGATTCTCCAGCAGATTATACAGATTTAAAGATAGAAGCATATTGGAGGTTGTTTGTTACAATTCTGTATTCGTTCGACAGGTCTCGAAACGGTTGCAAACTCAACAGATCTTAAA